TGTTCAAGAAACCAGTTTGAAACAGTCTGAGCTTTGTGACATGGCACGTTATGCTACTAAGAGAAGATAAGTACTGTGGTTATAAAGCCGAGGTGTTTAAACGATGCTCAGTTGGTACTAAGAGGCCCTAAGTGTGCCAAGGAAATATCCCCCACACCTTCACACCACCAGCAGCCTGAACTGCTGATACAAGGCAGGATGGAGCCATTCTTTCATGGTATTCACACCAACATCTGAACCTACCCTCTGAAAGTTGCAGCAGAAATCAAGCATCTGAAGGCAATGTCCGTGTGAACTGTAGCCTTAGTTTGCTGTCCTTCCCTGAGACAGCGGGTCATTCTCAGTTCTCTGGTTGTGTGAGAAAATCCCAGCAGATCAGCAGTTTTTAAAATACTCAGGCCCTTCCTCTCCAAGCTGAGGCTCCATTTGGACATCAGCAGCTTGTTGTGACCATGTCTGCATGGCTGAACACGGAGAGCCGTTGAACAGATGCACCTAATGAAGTGTAACTAGCATTTTGACCGATTACAAGCTGTTAAAGCAAAGTTAATGTTAACCTTTAAGTAATCAGTCTATGACAGCCCTGAACCTAGCAAACACTGTTTATTAGCTACATTAGCCAGTAGCCAGGGATGATCTCCAAAGTAATGCTACATTGAAACAGGAATTAATAAAATAATAGCGTTCTGTAAAAATACGTTTAAAAAATAAACTGAAGTAACAACTTACATTTTTGCTGAGTTGCAGATGATTTTAATTGTGTAACTATGAAGCTATACATTTATATAAATTATTCTTTTTTTTTTTTTTTTTTTATCTCTCTGTCATGAACTAGATTTTCTAAAGCTTGGGAACAGATCCCTGAAGAACATCTAGTTCCCTCTCAGACCAGCTTTATTATAGCCCTGAAACTAACATCTATTCGTTGCGCAGTTAACTCAGATGAGACAATAAATGAGCCAAACGTCATTTGGTATTAGAGGTTTTAGCAACCAACAGCCCAAACGACGCATCAGCCGGTTCTCTAACCACATTATTACATTTCTGACACGGTTCCGCCCTAAAGGTGGAGCAGGCCCACAGGTAATGCAGGATTTTCTTATATAAGTAAGTAGTCGTGCCAAACCTGTTTGAGCCTTCCAGATGATAGTATCTAATTGTAGGTTTGTTATGCATTGTTGGTAAATCCAATTTTAAGTGAACTACACATGAGGGGCTACTTGTTCTGGCTGCAGCCCAACCTGCTTGTAAAGCAGCTGTGACAGTCCAGCAGCAGCTCAGGCACGGCAGGAAAAAGCTTGGTTTTCATCAGGCTCACACTGCCCTCCAGTGCCGACAGAGCGAATTTCAAGAGAAATGTGAACCAATTTCATCCAAAATATGGAAAAACATTCCATTCGCTCCATTCGCTTCCGCTTATCCTTTTCAGGGTCGCGGGGGGCGCTGGAGCCTATCCCAGCTGTCATAGGGCGAGAGGCAGGGTACACCCTGGACAGGTCGCCAGTCTGTCGCAGGGCCAACACACAGGGACAGACAACCATTCGCACTCACATTCACTCGCACATTCACACCTAGTGACAATTTGGATTATCCAATTAACCTATCCCCACAAGCTGCATGTCTTTGGATGGTGGGAGGAAGCCGGAGTAACCGGAGGGAACCCACGCAAACACGGGGAGAACATGCAAACTCCACACAGAAAGACCCCGGCCTGGTGTTGGAATTGAACTCAGTCCATCAGTCCATCCAAAAACATTATGAAAGAAATTATTAAAATGCCAAAAAACAGAACAATCACCAATATTTCGCCACAGATAAAATTTAAATGCATAAAATATTTATTTACTCCCACCCAAACTCTGGATTTCATTTATATAAATGAAGGCAAAAAATTATTGTTGTTTTGTTGATTGTGCATATAAACAACATGTCTTTGACCCATTTATGTTACTGATGACCCTGCTTTGATTCATGTGGAAGTAACACAGCGGTGACGTCCTTTGGTTCATGCTCTTAAACCACGTTACAGGTTGCTCTGACACAACAAAAACACGAGCAGCAACTGGCGATATCGGCGAGGAAGAACTCCATTTCAGCAGGATAAGACTTCCAATAGAACCAGGCCCTACAGCAGGTGGACTCCAGGCCTCGAAGGCTGGTGTCTGGCAGGTTTTAGATGTGTCCTTGATCCAGCACAGCTGATTTAAAGTGCTAAATGACCTCCTCAACATGTCTTGAAGTTCTCCAGAGGCCTGCTAATGAACTGATCATTTGTGCCAGGTGTGCTGATCCAGGGTGAGATCTAAAACCTGCAGGACACCGGTCCACGAGGCCTGGAGGTCCCCACTCCTGATCTACAGGGACAGGCTGGGCACAGGAGACACACCTCCAGACATGCATTGGTATATCTATAAATGTACCAGATAATTGGATTTTGATTTGAGCTTTTCTCAGCACATGTCCACATGCTGGTGCTGTTTGGAGTTTTAAGTGGACCACAGTACACTGTAACTTGTAAGCTGTGTTTATTGATGCAGTATATGTGTACTGTATTGTATTTCATCTGTTTCATAATATTTTATGTAGAATGATAAAAGGTCCCCTCATTTCACAAGTAAAATGTTTTATTCAATTCAGTTTTATTTACACAGCGCCAAATCACAACAACAGTCACCTCAAGGCGCTTTATACTGTAAGGTCGACCCTACAATAATACACACAGAAAAACCCAACAATCAGATGACCCCCTATGAGCAAGCATTTTGGTGACAGTGGGAAGGAAAAACCTTTAACAGGAAGAAACCTCCAGCAGAACCAGGCTCAGGAAGGGGCGGGGCCATCTGCTGCGAGCAGTTGGTAAATTATCATCAGCTCATTCGGGTTGTTCCCACCACGTAGAGGCATTTCCTCTTCCTGTTATTCCAATTCTGATTACAGTGGTCACCACAGTTTAGCAAAGGCGGTGTTTACCCAGGGGTATCAAACATGTGGTCAGGGGGCCTGAACCAGCTCACCGAGGGTTTCATGTTGGCCCCCTTGGATTCCTTTAGTTATTCAGTAATGATTCCAGTCCTTAAAAATGCATTTGTAGTTACTTTGTAATGATGACAAAAGTATAAAAGATGGACGAAGCCACCAACATGTCACCGACTGTGACACAAGAAGGGAGGGACAGATCTGACACCAAAAGCTCTAGGCACTGGTTAATCCTCCTTTATGTCTCAATTATTGACCAGAATTTATAAACTTAACTTCATGTTTTATTCAGTAAGACATGAAACTAATGACTGACCCAGTAAAGTCATTGGCGAGAGAGCCGTGACCCGTTTAACCACAAATTCCTACAAGTCTTCTTGGAACCGGGGGAGGCGCCCCCTGGTGGTCATCAGAAAGTATACAGATTCAGTGACTGGGAAACCTGTGAATGTTGTAAAAGGATACTTCATTAAATGACAACAGTAACTCACCAAGTACAATACCTTCTGTTTTGTGTGTGTGTGTGTGTGTGTGTGTGTGGGGGGGGTATTTTTTAATTGCTCTTATGATTTCAGTGATGTGGAGAAGTCTTCAGTCATCCCTCGTTTCTTCACATTTTGGTAGAAAAATCTGAAATAGTTGCAGTGATTTAGTGAAACATGGGAAAACATGCATGACGTTTCTGCATTTCTAACAGGTTTGAAATATTCTATGACCACCTTTATTCTTCAGCGCAGCCTGAACCATCTTAGGTAGATTTCTTTAAGCAGTCATCTCGAATAGCTCCCCGGACTTCTTGAAGGATAATCTCAAGCTTCTCTCTGGATGTACACTGCTTTTCCATTCCGTGTTTTCCTGTTCGGAAATGTTTTTACTGCATCAGCAGTGTGTTTGGGATCATTGCTATGCTGTGCAGGGGTTACCTGCATGGTGGATCACAATCTGCTGGTACTTTTCTGGATTCGTAATTTCATCAACTTTGACAGAACAAATTCTATGTGTCCTGTAAGTCGAGTCCAGTCAGGTTATTTAAAATGCGCTACAGAAATAACTCTATGTTGACCAAAATATACACTAGCAAATATACACTATATATAACTGTCATTACATCAACAATAAAACTCAAATAAAACAATTTTAAAGACTGCGTTTGCATAATAACAGCCAAGACAGTCCACTCAGCTAGTGTTTTAAAGTGAGTGAAAGACTGGAGGGCTCTGATGTGAACAGGTAAGATTGGGAGCCACCACTGAAAAGGCTCGATCACCTCTGCTTTCAAGCCCGGATCTACAAATATCTAAGAGCAGCCAGTTCGCAGACCTCAGGCTCGGGTAGGATCGTCGGGTTGTGTCAGGTAAAGGAGAACCAAACTGTGGAGACTCTTAAAAACAAGTCAGAAAATTTAAACTGGATCCTGACCACAGATTATTTATATGACATTAAAATTATACACACACTGCATCAGTGTTTTTTTAATACTCGTGAATACAAACAGGCATATCACTGTTGCTTTGTTTAATAACAATATTAACATGGAAAAACTCTTGATAATGTTTAATAATATAAAAAGATTGTAAATTGTCATAAATATATTCAACACTTCCTGTTATATTGAGAATTAAGTTTGTAAGTTGTTCAGTAATAACTGAATTATGATGAAATCTGAAGGTGATGGAAATTTAGATACATTTATATAAGCCTAAAATAATAACACGGGGTTTCCTGTAACGCTGGGGTGGGGGTTTTAGATGCGTTCTTGATCCAACACAGCTGACTCAAATGGTTAAATGACCTCCTCAACATATCTTCAAGTTCTCCAGAGGCCTGGTAATGAACTAATCCAATTTGTGTTGACCAGGGTTTTATCTAAAACCTGCAGAACTGTTCCCCACCACTGCTCTGAAGGTCATAGATTTGGTGCTATTACAGCAGTGTCCACAAGATGGCAGTGTAGCTCCATGGCAGATTAAGCAGAAGGCTGGCGCCCTTCCTCATCACCACAGAAACATATTCAAAACACCAGATCAGTTTCAGACATAAAATATTTTATTTGAAGCACTTAGTTCTGATATACATTATCCCACAGCTCGTTTCTCAGCCCACTCCAAATGCCATGAACAGGAAGCCGTTGCCTTGCGTTGCATTAATTCACCGATCATCACAGCAGCAGATTCAAAACTACCAAACGCCCCACATAAATTCACAAAATCTACAGGTTCCAGCCGTCCAAATATCAAGACCACATCCATTTTTGTCTGAGTCGCACTGATTGCTCAGAGACACTTCTACAAACATTATCAAAAGCAGTTCGATTTTAGGAATATATCAGCACTAGCTTCCGTACAAAACGCCCACTGTGTTACTGAAGCAACCACGAATGCTGTAAAATGTCCAAAAGAAGAGTAGCGTGTGTATTCACGTGCACAGATGCAAGAACAACATGGCTTATTAGCGTTGGTGCAGAATCATCAGGATCTCCTTTTTACTAGACTGACTGAAGGCAATGTAGTGTCAGATCTGACCTTTGACCTGAAAGCTAAGCATGAATTAAAGTAATCAGCTGGCATGTGAATACAAACCTGTAGCAGAGGGTCGTTGTGCACGGGGAGTAACCTGCATCCTTAAACTTTCCTGAACCTGCCTGTGAGCAGCAAACCACAGGCCTGTGTGCTGTGCAGGAATGCTATTGCTTTAGGTTTTTCCTGTAGTGACAAAAGTAGTGAAATCCTTTAAAAAAAAGAAAAACAAAAAAAGAAAAGTTAGTGTGTTGGTTTTAATAGAGCCTGACGGGGTAGTTATCTTTGGCTAAATGTAGAGTATGCACCATATGCAAAATAGATACATGTAATTTATACATATTTGATCATAATGGCTTCGATTTCTGATTTATAAATATAAAGCTTTAGGTTTAGTGTGGCGGGGACCTTATTGGGGTGGTTTCGAAGACTTGGTGTTTGAAGAGAACTACACTTCTTCCAGATTCCACTCACAATAACTACAAACAGCATTACAGCAGAAGCACTCGTTGCATAGAACCTGTGTGTGTCGTTCATAAAGCGCACTAGAACAGCTTCCAGCTTCCATCAATAAAACACTCGCTTATGTTACCAGTCACAGGTCAGCTAGTTAATACAGTAATATCTAAAACTACAAAAAAGTCACCAAACAAAACATTAGCACACAAATTAATCACTTTCATCGTGTCATTATCTGCAGAAACTAATATCGTTGCATTCGTTCAACATTAAAAAAAGGTTTGTTTTTAAGGCTCGACCCTGCAGATGCATTACTGCGCCATGCAAATACACACATTCGATTGCAAGCAGGCAATGAGACACTGAGATAGGAAGCTGACATTGAAGAGTGTACATAAGGTCTTCTGCTTATTGCAGGCTTACTATGACACATTTATTGTGTTATTCTCTCTCTCACACACACACACACACACACACGCACACACGCACAGACACGCTACGCAACTCTTTCAGGCTTTTCGGGCAAAGTGAGAACAAACGGAAAAAGAACGCCTTTCGCCTCCAGAGGTGCCCTCAGCGTCTCCTCAACAAAGTAGGCGTTCTCCTCCTCCACTACAAACTGGAGAGTCTGGCTTTTGTTCACGCAGTAGATGCAGTTCCCGATGACGGCACACCTGAAGGGTAAGTGACTCCCGAGCCTCTGCGACATGCAGTCGTGCCACATTTTCACGATGGTGTTGTACTTGAAGACGTTGATCCCCTGCTCGCGGCTGACGTCAAAGCGGTAGATGAAGCTTTTCAGCGCCACCATGTCGGTGGACTTCTTCCTGCTGTTGTTGTAGGGGCACTCCTGCCACTCGTCTCTCTTAGGGTCGTACTTGAGGAGGCGGTAGAAAAGAGAGCCGCCCGATACGTAAATTTCTCCACTGCAGGTGGTCGCCTCGTGGGCCACTGCAAAGGCTCCCTTGGGCAAGGGGGCTACTGTCGTCCAGCGGTCCATTCGAGGGTCGTACTTTTCCACCGTAAACAAACATTCCCCTCCAATGGCATACAGATAGCCATCCATAGATAGGAGCTTTAGCTGGGCACGGGCCTGGTTCAGAGGTCTGACCTCGGCCCAGCGGTTGGTTATAGGGTTGTAACAGAAGACCTTGTCTGAAACCTTGCCTTTGTCCCCGTAGCCCTTTATTCCCCCGGCCACAAACAGGTAGTTATACATGGTGCAGATCCCACAGCCTTTAGTATTTACGTCCTCGGGCATGGCAGTCAAAGGTCTCCAGTCATTTGCTGTCTCGTTAAAGTGGTAAATCATATGGTTCTCCTCCAAAGACCCCACCGACAAAGGGCTCTGTGGCCGGCTGCCACAGCGACTCGGCGGCCGGCTCCCAACTCGGTCGAACACGTCGTTTATCTCTGCAACCATCAGAGTCTTCCTCCCCTCCATTCTCTTCTTCAGAATCAGATCCCTCTCAGATCCCGTCAAACGCCCGTACGCGGCGGGGTCTTTGAGGACCTGGAGGAAGTTGTCGCTCATGAATCCGTAGGCGGTCTCCTTCAGTTCACTCAGCCGCTGCTTCTTGGCGATGGTGAGGATCTCGTAGCAGTTCTCCGCCGTGATTTGTTCAGACATGGAGTCCATAGCTGCCTGGACGGCACAGGGGATCTGCAGGATTTTAGCCCCCGTGATGACATCGACTACATTGTCTTTGCTAACACTGATGTTTGAAGTGTACACATAGTCTATCAACGTGGACAAAGTCTTATAACTGATACCCTTCACTTTCAGGATGTTGCGTGACAGCCGTGCTTTGAAGTAGTCACTCTTCTCAGCTAGGACAGACCTGTGAGCGTTGATCGTCTGCCCACCTACCTCTATGACTAAGTCGGGCTCACTGTGGGGCTGTGTGTTTCCAGCTTCCTGGCTGCCGTCCCTGTGCGCCAGGATTGATTTTAGAGCCGGCTGATCGGCTTCCTGTTGGGCCTGGCTGGGCAGGTGTATGGAGGAATCTGCACTGTAGGACACTTTAGCTCGGGCGCCGTTGGGGATTTCGCCACCTGCACAGTTTTGCTGCATGCCAGCAATGTGATTGGAGCCAGTGTGAGGTGGGGCTTCTGGACTTTCCTTGTCACCTGAAAGGTAAAACCGATCAGCACTCGAGATGTATGAGCTGCCACCTTTCTGGTTATCAGTGTGGTTATTCTCCATCAGGCTTCCATCCAGCAGGTATTCCTTTTCAAACCCTGCAGGAGGGCTGAAGCCGGGCTCATCTTGCAGGAATCCCTGGACGAACCCTGGACATAAATTCCTGTTTTTGTCAGTAAGCGTGATAAAGTCCGAGTTCGCCGTGTGGAGAATGGCATCAGCCTCCACAGTGACAGCCCCTCCTCCCTGCCTGTGGCCCTCAGTCATCTCAATGTACTCACTGGTGATGGGAGACGACGTTCTCACTGATCATGCTGAGCGGACGGACAAAGCTGTGAGGGGATTCCTCTCTCTTCACCTACAGTTGGAGAAAACAAAGAGGGAATTTAATCAACATCCAGTGGACTAGAACAAAAAGAACCCGTCTGGAAGCTGCAAAGACTTTCTCGCTCTCTAAGGGGCGCCCTTTCTCTAATATCTTGAAAACATTTGAAGGAAAAAGACTTTTTGCTGCCAGTAATGATTTGCCATCACGCACAGCCTTTGAGCAACATCTGCAGCTCAACAAAGAAACACAAGTAATCCCGACATGCAGCTTCTGCAAACTGCCCACTGCAATAATCACCCTGTCCTCTCTATGTGGTAATCTGTACACATGCAGAACGCATGCGCATATGGTGGCACTCCGATGGAATAATGTTTAATAGGAAGGAAAACGTTGATTTTTGGAATTGTGTCCAAAACTCCTGTTTGTTTCCTTCAAGGATAACGTCGCTCGAACGAGCCACAGCTGCTCATTCATTAGAACTGAGTCGGATTTAAAGCGTTTTCGTGTAATTGCAACACAACGTGAAACCAAAGCATGGATTTTTGCGCGTTCTCGGTAAACTGCGACCTACCTTCGTTTTCTGGCTGTGATCAACAGCTCGACACCAGCGCTTTCCCTGCTCGTCCCTGCACAAAGCTCAGTTACGTAAGACAGTCCCGATGAAGCTGCGAGCCTGAGCTCCCCGGGACGAGTTCACCTCACGGTCGATTCCGATTCACGGTCACCTTTATTTCTACCTCCGGACACTCCGGGCTGCCGTTTCATCCGCTCATCCTGTAAAATGTGCCGGAGCTCCGCGGCGGAGGCGAGGCAGGGGGACGATCAAACAGTCATCTCAAGTCACACCTCCTTCAGATCAGCCGTGGACGTGTAATTTCCTCCGGTGGAAAGTGCGGAGAGCCGATGCGCGCGTCCAAGCTGGAGCAGAGGACCGCAGTGATAGGCTCCCACCTCCACGAGCACTCCGGATGTTGATTTTTGTTGTCTTTAATTATTTGTGGAACAGCTGGCTGGAGCGAGGTGGTTATTATTGACCCAGACCACGCCCTCATCGGTCGGCGTTAACCCCACACTCAACGGCGCGTGCCTCCATCTGCTGTGCGCGCGCTGGACACAGCATTCCTGCACATGATCCGTGTGAGGGGGGACCGCGGGGGGTCAAATATAAGTCCATGTGCATGTAACATCTGTAAGCTCATATAAGCATCTCACACACACACACACACACACACACACACACACACACACACACACACCTACTAAAAAGACCGCTTCGGTATAATTCATATGTGATAATACAGAAATAATGAGATCTGCGAAAACTTTGCGACAGAGGGTACAACCTGCAGAGGGTCAGCCGTGACGTCACCACACTAAGACGTATGGAGGAAAAAGCCCGTAGAGGTCCTGGATGGCTGGGCTCATCCCGGGTAGCCAAAGCATGGCATCATTCCACATCAGAGATGCAGCTCACAGCTGAGCGTCTTTAAAACTAAAACACTGAAAATATATTCAAAGCATTCACCAACCTGTCAACGGAATGACCGCTAACATCAAAAAATGTGAAAACAAATCCAAGAGGCTTTCGCTGCATGAGATACAGTACAGTTCTTACACTGTGTTTATGCCACATCTGCCCCGAATCAACAGCACTGGTAATTACCAAAGTCATGTCTCGTGTTTCTGTTTGGGCTAATCCACCAGTATGCACAAGCTCTCTAATCAAAATGATATTTTTAATGCTAGAACATAATTATTGCTTTATATTTATTGATAACTACAGTTATTCATTTGCAATCCTGAACAGAAAGATGAATTTCAGCGTTTGAATGTTCAGCTTGATTAATTCCCGACTTCTCATTATGTTCCCACTCAAACCCTGCAGTGTGCACGTGGCAGAACATATACAGGCAGGTGAATGAGCCATGCTCTCTGAGCTCATCTATACAAAATGACAGAGCTCTGTCAGATCAGTTCAGTCCCATTACATTTATGTAACACAGTTTACAACTGATCTCAAGGTGCTTCATACTGCGAGGAAAAGACTCAGAGATAACTGTGTTTGAAGATGTTTCAGTTACAAGCTTTTAACATGGAGAAAGGAGCATTTACTTCTTCCTGAACGGGCTTTTATATTGGTCCCTAAAGCACAGTATTCTTTGAATATCTTCCATCTTTGCTCATATATATAAAGGTCTTTTTAGTCAAACCGTATAATATTTCATGTTTTTGTTTAAAAGAAGACAGCCTCACAGAGCAGCAGCAGCGTGGGTCTGTGACCTCTCCTCCACGGAGGCTGCATGTCTTAACAACTGACCTTCAGATATAAAAATAGAGGGAAGCCACGGCGAGGGCATCAAACAAATATCAACCCTGTGAGATTAGAGGGCATTCAGCTGGGAGTTTTAATGCCAGATATTTTCAGAACAAAGCCTCGCCGAGGACTGATACAAGCACATGAAATGAGCGTCTCCATGGAAACCTCAGGGTCAGACGGAAAACAAAAGACTTCCCGTTGCAGAGCTGTCAGACAGCCTGATAACTGGGTTACTTACAATGAGATCATCTGTGTTTGACTTCTAGTTAATGCAACATTCTGTAGGTGCAGCATATAAGATACTACCCAGAAAACTCAGATCAGTATTAGCAATCAGGCCGGGGTGCTGAGGATTGTGGGAACATGTCCAAATGTCTATTTTTGTTAGAACTCATAGTGAAACCTGGTTGTGCAATGGTGGACGTGGGCGTTATGAGAGAAAGTGTCTTGACCCTCTCTGCTCGGCAGCAGGAGAAATCCCGGAAGAGCTGCATCAGGCTCAGTTCCTGCCGCCCCTCAGGCACATTGCTAGTCCCGGCATGTACCGATGGCTGCACACAATCACAGCGCAGTGCAAGGTTAGAGTCGAGCACAGAGGCACGCCGACGCCCTTTGGCCCTCTGATCGTCTCCGAGTCGTCTCGCACACTGTATGTCTTCACCACCATGTGACCGCCTGTGTGTTAGTGTGCTCCTCTGTGAACCTGAACAAGTGACAAATCTCCACTAAGCTTCAAAGGAAAAAAGTTTACTCAATAAAACAACGTTTATAGATTTGTTAATAAACATAATTACATAAAAGGCACGAGAAAAGTATAAATCTTTTATATATATTTTCTTAAAACATTGTTATGCCAGAAAAAAAAAGTGAATTAGGGTAAAAAACAAAAAAAGAAAATCTGTGGTGTTGGCAGCAAGTCTTTCCTCCCTTTAAGAACAGAAACCTGGCCAGCAGGGATCCTCATCAGGCCTTCACAAACTCTTTATTCATCTGAAGTTTACCTTTTTAAAAACCCCTTTTCTCTGCTAACATAATAGTCTGAGCATCAGAGATGGTACAAGAGGAAATCGTTTCCATAAGGACACACACACACACACACACACACACACACACACACACACAAGCTCTAACCTTACAACAAACGTTCACGTGACAGCAGATACCTCGCGCGTCTTCAAGCAGTCTGGACCGCCGCTTGTTATCTCCTAATTTCTTTTCAACACTGATTTAAATACTGCAGATCCAGACGTTGGACCTGAAACACTGGAGAGCACTGAAATGTGTTAGCTAGGTTACAGAGCAACGTCCAACACTCGGTAGCAACAGAGACTGTTTCTGTTACAGGTCCGTCCTCAGTACGACCTTCGGTAGCTGTCATTTCCTCCTGGTTTTTCGGATCTTTGTCCCGTTCCGGTTTAAATAAGACACTTAGTTGCTTTGATTGATCCCAAATATTCTGCCAAGTGTTAACAGTAGACCTTGTTGTGTGCAGCACTTCTGGATTCACCTGAGGAAAACAAAAAGGTACATGTAAGGTTTTCTATACTTCATGTAGACATTACCTGCTGATGACTAATGCTAACCTCCCACCTTGGTGCTGGAGTCACATGTTGAGTAAGGGGATCTGCCAGATCATGATGGTAGAGGTGGTGTCCTCATGGCGAGACTGCTTGGTCTTCTTGTTGACCCTGCGGTGTCCCAGACCTCCAGAGACCACCAAGAGAGAGCTGACATCCACCTTACTTGAGCGGCGGCCTCTCTGGTGATGGGCCGGGTCGTGGAGCACATCATAAAGGGCCCCGTCCTCAGGCCCGTGCTCCAACGAACCCTGGGATGGAGCCAGCGAGCCACAGGACGAGGAGGACAGGGAGTCCTGGAGAGCCATGGCAGTGCAGCCCGCCTCTCCCAGCCACACCCCTCGTCCCTGCGAGGGGGTCGGGGCTGAGTCTGATGGAGGCTGGGTGCTCTCCACATCCTTTGACTCTGCAGGCTGCAGTGGGCCTGACGGCTGGTTACACACTGCAGCGGCGGCGGTGAGGAACTTCACCGGTCCGCTGTGAGCATGTAAGGACACCATGCCCCGACCTAAGAACGGGCACGAACATTCAAAGTTAATCTCAGACTTGAACCTGGACATGTTGTTTATCATAGATGCAGGTACACTCCACAATACACTATGAACCTGAGTGACACCCCGTTCTAAATGTGATGTCAAACCAACCTTTGTAGCTGTAACAGCTTCAACTCTTCTAGGGAGGCTTTCCACAAGGTTGGGGAGTGTTTATGGGATTTTTTAAAATTTCTAATTCATCTCAAAGTCGTTCTATCAGGACCCTGTGTGGGCCCAGTCAAGTTCATCCACACCAAACTCGTCCATGTCTTTATGGACCTCGTTTTGTGCACTGGTGTGCAGTCGTGCCATCCCCAAACTGCTCCCACAAAGTTGGGAGGATGCAGTTGTCCAAAGTGTCTTTGTATGCTGAAGCATTAAGGGTTCCTTTCACTGGAGAGCCCCACTGCTAGAAAAACACGCCC